TAAATTTGGTATAGAAAATGAAATTTGGCTTCATTTTATTTTCTGTAATATTTTTTATACATAAATTTTTCTATGATAAATGCTTTGCATTTCGTAATAATTTTGGTTGAATTATATTTTGGGAGCTTAAGTATTCTTTAATGAAGAGCAAAATATTAATATGTTGCACAAGCGTAAGATATTATGCTACATTAATGTCTCGAATTTCATGTCTTTTGTGGTTTAAATTGAAAAAAAAAATTAATTTTCATGATTTAGGATGAAATGTGGTTATAAATTTTTCATTCTCTATGATGTTTGTTATGTTCGTAATCAATTTCAATCTAAATTTTAACGCTGACAGAAAAGAGTTGGTAGTAAAATTTTGTCAATCAATTTGCTATTAGATTTATGTTTTGCTCTCTGCTTTTTAAGTGTTAATCACGGGCTACGATATCTAAATAGTTTTTTTTTCGTTTGTATCATTGGAAATTAAACGAAAAAATTTTCAAATATTTAATTTTTCAAAAATTTTTAATTTGGTTTAAACTATTTTAGCCAGAATATTCAAATTTTCAAAATAATTTTTCAAACTTAATAACAAATTAAATGAGTAATTAAAAAACCTGGCTAAATATTTGAAAAATATTATGAGTCTACTTCTATTTTTGTGTAATTATAAGATTTTAGTGAAAATGAATAATCTAAATGTGTATTTTCAAATTGTTAGCATAGAATAAATAAAGTTCGTTAAACCAAATAATTTGTAATGTAGCACTTTTCCCTTCAACAAGTGAAAATACTCCTTTTAAAAAAATTTAGTTATGGAATACATTATTAAAAGTACTTCCATTCATATACGAATATATTTCAAAAATTGCATACATTTAGGATGAAAACTTTGTACAATCTTTGAAATGAAACAAAAAAATTTGAAAGAGGCGTTAGCATAATGCTCGAATTTTATAGAAATTTAGAAAACCTTACTGTTTCAGAAATATAAGTTGCCAAAAATTCGAATTTTACAAATTTCGAGGCGATAACTTAAAAGGAGGTGAAGATGAGGAACTTCTTCCAACGAAATGAATTTATTTATTACTGTCTAAAAGTTGCTAAAATTGTAGACTCCTAAAACCTGAAATATCGAAGAAAAACAACATCAAAAATTTGTAAAAAAACGAATTTTAGATAACGATAAATATTAGCGACCATTTTGTTTTTTTAAAGCGTTTGCAAAATTTGAAAAATACTTATTTTTTCTTTGCAATAAATAGTTGAAAAATGGCATTTTTAGGGTTTTGGAGGGCTATAATTTTAAGAGGGAGAGAAAGGTAAAAATTTTCTTCTACGGAAATAAGTTTCTAATGAATCTATGCGCATATGAAATTTCTGCTTCTGGTTAAGAAGTTTTTTAGATATGTCCATGGGCGAACAGAGTGGACTTAAGCACATTTTTTAAAATTTTTTTTTTTTGAAAAATGCTAAAAATTATTATTTATCTCATCGGCACTACGGCATAGAAAATTCAAAAATTCTTTAATAATGAAAAATTTGGGTCCTTGCAAATTCTATAATATCCTAAGTTATGCATTATAAATGCATCCTTTAGATTAATTATATTTTATCTTGACTTCATTATACATATAGGAAATACAAGTTTATATTTGCAGATTTTTTAATGAAACCCTAATAAAGTATTCTATATTGTTATATAAATTTGCATTAACATTGCCATATTTGCTTTCTAATATAAATTTTTGTGTTCTATTTGGTAAAATTTTTCGGATTAAGACTTCTAATGCCAATGAATGCTAAAATTAATACAACATACCAAGCACAAAAATGCAATCAGTACACATATACACACGTTCGAAGCATATTAATTATAATTATATGCAATTAAACCTATAATCATTCCAGCATAAAAATGGATTATTATTAACATATTCTTGTGTCTAATTACTTAATCATCCATAAATGACATTTTAATTCGAAAATTTTTTTCAAAGTTTAATATAGATAAATTCTAGTTATTCGTCTAATTATTATTTAAGTTGCATTTAAGCATTTTTATGGTATAGAAGTATATTGATGATGCCGACATAATTGTTTCGAATAAATAAGAAAAAAAGTTTTTCTAATTTATGAGAACATTTTTTCATCTCATTAATTAAAAGGTGGGAATATTTTCTTTTTTTTTTGTTAAAAAAATTAAATTTACAAATAAATTTTTTTATTTTGATTCTATACAGAACAGTTTATGTCCATATAGTATGATGCTACTCGTATCTATATCATATAAATATTTTAAAAATATGAAAATTAAAAATTCTTGTGAAAATTTTTTTTTCACAAGAAATATACACCTTCAATATTCTCACTCAATTGCTTTCTGTACCAATACTATTAAAGATTTTTATAAAAATTACCCAATAGAAAAAACTAAAGAATTATGAAGAATTCCACAATAATTATATAACTAGCTTATAATAATAGTAAAAGGTAATATAGAAAATTATTTCGAAACTAGTTTTCTTCATCTGCCTCGTTTAGAAATGCCAGTATCCAAATATTTTTGAAGGAAAAATGAAGTTCGAAGTAAAATTATGAATTCGAAAGGAGCACATTTTAAATCACAATTGAAATTTTTCAACCTCCTCCTTTTTCTTGTAAAAATAGATTGAAATTGTTATAACGTCTATTCATGTGATCGTCATCATCATCCATCATGATGATTAAAATTATTTTCTCACAATATACAATTTCTACATTGAATAAATTTTGTTCTATATAATATGAATTCAACAATTCAGCAACAAGAAAATATTATAAAAATATTTGACGTGAATGGTTTTCAGTGTCTTAGCAAATATCTTAGATGAAATAAAACTTTTACATTTTACAAATTTTTTCAAGCTATTCTTTTCTCATATTGTTAAAGATTGAAGCAACTGAAATTTTTAAAATTGTTTGAAGTGTTTGTTATACAGACAGTACAAAAACAATTTCTTGTCTTAAAGTTTTTTATGCCTTTATATGGTTTTCACCACGTTTTAAGAATTGAATAATGTTCCGAACTCTAAGATCTTTGAGTTTTAATTTGTAAAAGTAAATGTAAATTTTCAAATATTCTCTTAAAAATAACTACATACTAATTAAGGAGCAATAACTTGTACAGACGTTATTTCTGCTCTTTACCTTAATTTTGAAACCAAGCCCACAAAGACAGGCTTTTTGCCCTGTCAATTTTCTGTAAAGCATGCATTAGTACTTGTTCCCGAATTTCATATTAAAATCATTATTAAAATCAACAGTATGTGCGACTTAATTCTTAAATTTTTTTGTGACAACACTTTTCTTACTGTTAATGAGTTATGACAATCAAATAACGTTTGGAGTATAATTTTAAGTGTCAGAAAAGTCATGCATGTTTGCACATAAAACTCTAATCAATCTGAACAAAATTGATGATGCACAAACATTGCTTGCAAATAACTATGATTTGGAATAAGAATTTATTGTGGTTAAACATACCTTCGTTTCGAATTTTTGTGACTTGCATGTTATAATATTATTGACCTCTACCGTAATTGAGAATATAATAATTAGAATAATTCCATTTTTACCGACCGTATTGTGTAAACAATAGGTAGGTTATGTGATGGCAACAAATTTTGCATATCGAGTTTTCGGTGGGAACGTACTTCTCCATAGTAGGGAAGTGTAAATAAACTATTTTTAGCAACCTGTCGGTCTGTCGGTCTGTCGGTCTGTCGGTCTGTCGGTCTGTGTGTGCACGCGTGTATCTCAAGTTCGGCTGAACCGATTTTGATGAAATTTTATATGTAAGTTTGTTTCCACCATGGCACGGATCGATCAACTTTTGGTATATATCAGGCCTCGGGAACTGCACTTTTTAGCGGGCCTGTTTTACATTTTTGAACATTTTGAACAAAATATTCAACCGATTTACTTGAAATTTTATATATAAGCTCAGCTCACCCGTTCGCAAAAATTCGTATGTTTTGGAAGAAATCAGGCATCGGCAACTAGACGTTTACTACGGGCCAAATATACATTTTTGTGTATATAAAGAGAAATAATCAACCGATTTCATTGAAATTTAATATATGAACTCCTCGTATTGAAACAATGAACATATAAATTTTTTGGAAAGATCAGGACTCGAAAACGGATTTGCGGGCCGATTTTACATTTTTCACCATTTTGAAGAAAGTATTCAACCGATTTACTTGAAATTTCATATATAAGCTTTGCTCGATCATACGCAAAAATTCCTAACTTTTGGAAGAAATCAGGCATCAGCAACTGGGCGTTTACTACGGGCCAAATATACATTTTTGTGTATATAAAGAGAAATAATCAACCGATTTCATTGAAATTTAATATATGAATTCCTCATATTAAAACAATGAACATATAACTTTTTTGGAAAGATCAGGGCTCGAGAACTGATTTGCGGGCCGATTTTACACTTTTCACCATATCCACAGAACAAATTGATGGAATTTCTTGAAATTTGATATTTGAGTTCTGGTTGTTACCGAAACTAACTGGCGAGCATTTCAGGGAATTCGGGTAGCACAAAGCGAAACTCTACTAAAAGCCAAATTTACATTTTTCTAAATATGTTAACTATAAGCTTACTAATGTCCTAAAAATTGGAAAGAAGTATTTAACAGACATTTTTATAATATTCTGTAACACTTTTATTTAACTAGACAATACACAATGCGGTCGGTTATGTGCTGACCACATCAGATTTTTTTCTTTTTTAACCTTCTCAATTCTTAATCCACAATATACACAAAAAACTAATAAAAATTAAAACTTTCATTTTCTATATTTATGTTCTCCATTTCCCCCTTTCTCATTCACTTATCATCCTTATTTATAATATTATAAACAAGTAGACAACACTATTCATATTAATTGTAATTTGTAGAATTGTGTGTGTATTTTACTAAATATTGTTTTTTCTTATAATTCTTCAATTTTAGAATGGTGAAACAATGAATCGTGACTGTGATGAAAAATGCACTTGTAATAATGGTGAATGGTTTTGTTTACCACGTTGTACTGGTGTATTCTTTAAGCGAGGTCGAATCTTTGCCGACTCATCATGTCATGAGAAATTATCACAAGAAGATGAATGTTGTGCCACAATGATTTGTACAGAAACAGCTAGAAATATAAATGAAGATTTAGATCCTATCATTGGAAATTCACAAAATGGTTTGTATTTGTTTTTTTATTTACTAAGTATTGTGTTATATAATATCTTAGTATGTACCTATTTGAATATATGTAATTATATTCTCTTTTATTGTTTCGTATATAATGAGCTCTATTAAATTCGCTAGATTATATTATTCTTGATATTTGTGAATTTATTCTTAATTATTCACATAATTATTAATATGCATATTTTACAGGATGTTTCATGAACTTCCAACTCTAAGCATATTTTAATTTTTCTATCTAGATGCCTTATAGAAGTTTAATTTAAAAACTATGATATTTTATTCGAGGAAGATTTTCCATATATATTGTCCTATATTGTCGCGGAAGACTATTTTTGTTTTTAAATAATAGCTTGAGTTTTGCTTACACTAAAAGCTTACATTGAAGACTTCTCAAATGACTTTGATTTTTAATATTTTCGTATACCAATTAGCATTATAATGTATAGCCTAACAAAATTTGGTTAAATTCGAGAAATTTAAAGTGTTTGAATCAAAATTAGAAGAACGTTCAAAGCAACCCCATAAAATGTGTTGGAACTTTACTCAAAATATATTTCAAGATTTTTCATATTTATTTCTTATTGTTCGAATTCTAAGACGCGTCCATAATGCGTCTATTATTCTGATCCCAATTAAAAAGTGAAGCAATTATTGTATAGGGAGTGAAATCTTAAAACAATTCACAGAAGCCGCTGTTTACTTTGTCTAACATGTGAATAGTTACATTAAGTTCAAATTCTAAATAATTTTAAATTTTAAATTACAATTATTTAAAATCATTAAATTGGTGCTAGAAACAGAAAGAAAATAATATAACAATTATATTGGCATAAGTTATTAAAGAAGCTTCAATAAAGAATTATTTCATGCCATCATTTGTATATGGAAACATTTTGTGCTTAAATAAGTAAATCACATTCTACACTCGCTACATAGAACAAATGAATGAATTCTTCATTATTAGAGTGACGAAGATTGCGTGCTCATTATTACTTTTAATTTATTAACAAGCTGTCATCATAATAACTAATTACATGTTTTCAATTCACATTTGCTCCATATAAATTTTTTATATAAACATAAAATTAATATCATATGCTTATATGCATTGTATATATATTATTTGAATTATTAAAAAAAAAACTAAATTTCACTTATCATTTCTGTTCTATTATTATAAACATAAATTTTATATTCTTTCATATTATTATTTGTATATATATACTCATACATACATAAAGATTCAACATCATCATTTCTTCCAACAATTCCACCATCAGCAGTAAGTACAACAGAAATGAAAACTGAAACATTAGGTTGTATGCATAATGGTGTTATGTATCGTCCAAGAGAACGCCTTGAAATCGGTTGTGAACAAATATGTTTTTGTGAAAATGATGGGAATATGAATTGCCGGAAACGTTGCCCAGAACGCATTCATTCACCACAAGAGAAATGTGTATTAGTTAAGGATCCAAAAGATATTTGTTGTCAATTAGAATTTTGTGATGTTACATTAGATGGCCATGAACAAACTGAACCACCATCAACATCATCATCATCATTAATATCAATGTCATCAAATAATAGTAATAGCGATGAAGAAAATAATGATCTTATTCAACCAATAAATGGTACAATACTAGATAATAGTTGCCAATTTAAGGATAATATGTATAAATTTGGTGAACAATTTCATGATGGTTGTGAACAATTATGTATATGTACACGTGAAGGTATACATTGTGCTAAATTAGAATGTCCATCAACATTTGGCTTAGATGTATTAGATCCACATTGTATAAAATGGGAACCAGAACCAGCTACATTTAGAGCAATTGCACCGAAATGTTGTCCAGAAAGAATGCGTTGTGTTAATAATGGTTCATGTGAATATGAAGGTCTAAGATTTGATAATTGGTCGGAAATTCCAAGTAATTTAACCGGTTAGTATAAGAATTTTTTTTTAAATTCACTTAAAATGAGATTATAAATTTTAGATTTTAAACATTTTATTTTTTTAAAACATTCAAATTATAGGTTGTGAAAAACATTGTTATTGTGAAGCTGGTAAAATTGAATGTCGTCCAGCATGTGCACCAGTGCCAGCATTGCCACCAGCCCATTTACCATGCCATCAAAAAGATGTACGTTTAGCACCGATACCAGATGATGAGTGTTGCAAACATTGGACATGTATAACAAATGATGTGCCACAAATACCAGATTATGATGACAGTAAGTAGACATTTTTTTTTCATTTTTAATTACACATGCAATAATTATTTTAATTTTTACAAAGTTTTAATTTAAAAATTTAATCTTAAAATTAATTCATCCTTTAACTTCAACCACCATTCCATCCATTAAACTATAAAATAATTTTTAATTTTTAATAATTAAATGCAAATTCATTGAAAACATCTTTTATAAGTCAGCAAACATTCTTTCTACACCTGCATACCACTTTTATTTTTATTCACATTTTTTTTCTATTTATAATTTTTTCAATTCAATAATTTTTTAACCACTTAATGTATTTCGTGCTTATGCTTAGGACAAAATATTTCTCTTTTTTTACTTCTCTATGTTCTAAGGTTATTTTCTATTACCAGAAGCACTTATGTCGTACAGATTTTCAAAAAATAAATTACAATTTTTTATAGGGCTTTTAAAAATAATTTACTTATCAATGTGAACTTTTCAAATTCAACATACAACATTCAATATTTTTGTTTTTTTCATTACCCTTCATCATTATTAGCATTACCATATAAGAATTTTCAATTATCAATCATAATATTATTGCTCATATCTCATTGAAATTCGTAAATTTTTTTTTGTATAAAATATGCTCATCTCATTATTAAGAGCTAAGTGAAGAGGTTATATGATAAAATATTGTAGAAAAACTATGAAGTCTGTAAATCCTAATTTCATTACCAATTTTTGGATATTCAAATTGCAATATTTTACATAATTAAGATTTTTAATGATAATGACGATTTGCTATAAGAATTTTATGAAAATATTCAATATGTGAAGATTTAATTTTTATGCAAAAAGGGACAGGGTAATTCATAATTCTTTTTTGAGTTTTTTGGTAATTTAGTTGATTTTAAATATTAGAGTAATTTTATATAATTAATATTTTTGCTTTGAAAGCTATGTATGTTTTCCAAAAATATAGGAAAAGCTGTACAATTGGGCATGTACAATATAAAAGATGAAATTTTTGAAGTATAGGTGGAATATTGAATTCACATAGACGTACATTCATTTCTTGCACTCATTTTGAGAGATCCACAGAATTCTCTTTAAATGTTACATGTCATTTCTTCGAATTAAAAAAGTGAAATCAAAAAATTTTCACTATCATTTTAAGATTTTGGCCATTCTATTATACATGCCGATGTGCGTAATATACACTTAACGCACATAAATAAATTTATTTAAATGCCTATATGTAATAAAAATTTTTTTTTTCCATAGATTTTGATTGAAAATCGAGATTATATTAATTTTCATTTATTCTTTACGTTCCATTTAAGTGAATATAACATTCTAAATATAATAACTACGCTCATATAGAGGAGTGATAATGATCATTCCTTTACGTAAATTCACTCTATTAGACCGTCGTCATTTTCCTTTTAAAAAAATGTTATAGTAAATCTTATGAGAATAGAATAATTTCTATTATTTAATGCCAGACAAAGCTTGATGTCAACAGCATTATAAACACGACTAATTAAAAATTTTAGATTTTGTCATAATATTTAAACAGTACAGTGTATTTTATTTGGAATATAAATTATTTGATTTATTCTCATATCAAAAGAAAATTTCTATTTGCAAACAGCTCCTTTTCAATTTAAATTATTTTAGAGTGTTACACATCTTTAAATGGAACGCAAACCTTTTATTGCATAATTGTTTTAATAAAATAAATATGAAAAGTTACAGACAACAAAACTTTTTTTCGTTAAATCTATTCAATATAGATTCACATCAGAAGAATCCTATATAAATAAAATCATTGAAAATATTTTCGATTTTATAAAATGCTTGCATATTACATTTGTACACACTCTCATTTAAAAAAATTTATTATTATAATATTTAAATGGAAAATATGAAAAACGAAATTGATAAAAATTTCTCTAATGAAAAATCATTGATTTTCTTTTTTTATATCTTATACATTCCTACATACATACATAGATTCTTTTAAAAATATACAAAAAAAAATTCATATATCATAGATCAAATTAAATTATTCTTACATTTAAAAAATATTTGATAAATTTTAAGGAGGTACTGCTTTAAATATACGTTATTGTGAGACTCACTCTCTCATTTCATCATTTATCATTTTCATATAGATTTAAAAATATAACAAAATAGTATAAAGTGTTTTATTTATTTTTCTCTATTTCTCTTGCTCTGTCTTTTGTCTAGTATTTTTCTTTTTTTCTTACTTTATTTTTGTTTTTTTACGTTCTCATACTTCACTTTTATACTTTAAGTGGTTCATCCTTTTAATATACTTAAATGCTTATCTGCATTCAATATCATATCCATATATAAGTATGCATAAGGTAATCAAAATCAATTCATTTAGATTTATGACATAAAATATAATAATTTTTATATATGTATACTTAGTATAAAATATAGGTATGTATAGGTACACTACTGCAATATAAAACAAAACTCATATAATATCACACATACATATATACATTAATTGAAAATAAAAGTAACATTGAATTAGTAGTTTCATTAAAATTGGCATTGCATGATCCTTTTTTTTTTTCTTTAAAAGTCGTAAATAATAATATATAGATAATTATATATATAAAATGTATATTATAAATATTTTGAATATTTTTAAATTTATATGCATACATACATGTTGTTATTATATTTTTTAAAAATACATAGAAGCATAAAATAATATTTTATTTTTATTATTGTTGTTGTTATTGATTATTATTGTCGTTAATATTTTGCTTATAAATGATAGTTATTTGAAAGCTATTTGGTTATTTTAAATATATTTAGACAGTTAAGTCATTTTTAAAAGGAAATTGAGGTATAAATAAGTGTAATATTAATTTCCCTGTTCAAAGAACCTGTACTAACATTATAACTGGACTAAATTGACAATCATCCAGAGGTTTCTGTAATTATTAGCCTGCAATATAAGAGAATAATGGCACACACATTTATTTAAATGATTATTCTTGTGGCAAGCGGTAGGTCACTATTATACAGATAGAAAATTTTCGACAGAATTCTTATGTTTTTGACATTTCGATTTAGACCTAAAAACCAATGTTCGAATTATTTTCTTTGCTGGTAACATATACGTTTTTTCAATTTATTTAGAATTTAATACTCGGAAATATTTTTTTTTTTTTTAATTTAAACGTTCAAATTGTACTGTGGCTTACGGGTAAATCAAGAGAGTTAAAAGTTTTATGAATAAATAAAATCCATTTTCATATAAATATACCGTTTCAAAAAAATCTTATAAAACGAGCTTAGATTTTTGAAAACAGAATACAGTTGAAATTTATTTGAGTAATAAATTCTTGAAATTTTAGGCTAAATTCCGTTCAATATTAATATTTCATGTTTTACATTATTTTGTAAAAGCTTTCAAAAATTTAGAAAACAATTATGAAGCTTATAATACATATTTATAACCATTTAGACGTTCTACGAATCAAAATATTTCTCTTTCGTTTTATATTTTCAGCATAACTTAACAACCTCAATTAAATCCAACTTAATTGAAATTGGTTGAGATTTACAGCCTAATCGTGTATCTCGCGTTTTTTAACTGACTTTTTTTTCATTTTCAAATCAGAATTCTCCGTTTTTCTAATGGATATTTCATTTTTCCAATAAGATTGGAAAAACAACAATAATAATCATCTTTTCAATTGGATTTTTGAATTTTTGCTTAAATTATCGCCTGAACGTCTCACTTTTAAATATAAAGTGAATAAATTTTGTGAATTAATATTTTCACTCGAAAACTACATTATACAAATATGTGATAGTTACTCACTTTCTTCACACTTTCCGAATAAAATAACGAGATAAATGATCAGGCTCTTAATTTTTAATATACTTTATAAAATTCTTTGCACTTAATAAATTGTCGAACGTCAACTCTTTTTTAAATTTCTACTCTGTTTATTAATTAATAAGCTAGACACAACAAATATGGTTTTACTGTTGTTCATACAAAATTTATGAAATAAAAAGAACATTATAAATCAATATTTTATATAAATTATACTACAAATATAACAGATTATTATTTCATGTAATGTTTGTTGAGTGATCTTAACAGTATTTTAAAGTGGATTTTGTATATTCTCGAGAATAATTGTAAAATTGTTTTTTCTTCTAATAGCTAGTACGAGTAAAAATCAAATTATAAAATACATAAAATAAGGACACTTATATGAAATAATAGATTTAAAAAAAAACTATATAAAAATTTTCAATTATTTCTAGTTTTTTTACTCAATAATTTTTAAGAATTTTATTTCAACAATATTATTAAATAAAAAAGTATTTTATTGGAATCTTAAAATAAACTTTGAAATTCAAATATAATTGTAATGAAAAAATTTGTGAAATTATATTTTCAATAGACAGAAAAATAAATTGTATTGAAAATATTTTATTCAGATGTTCTATGCCATACTAAGTAGTTAATAACCTATAGAAATAATTAAAATATAATTTACATTATTAACCAATCAGTATATAATTTTATTAAATTTATAGAATTATAATTAACTTTGATTTTGATGAATAGAATTCGCACTTAAACTAAAATTATATAATTGTATTCAAAAGGTGGTATACGTAATTGTATATGAATAAGGTACAAAAAATTTTACGAAATAATATAACAGTTTTTAATAATGAAGATGTCAAGATTAGTCTCTAAAATTTAGGATAATTTCGTGTAGTTGTAAATTTCATGAATTCTAAAAATAATTTTTTTTATAATTTAATCACTTAAAAAAATTTCAGGCCAAATTTTTTGCATAGTTATTTGTCTTTTATACGAGTATTAATTTTATAGAGCGTAAATTAAATGTCTCATTAGAGACATTTTATAGAAACAGAAGATCATTAATTTTTAAATTTAGAATATTAAGGATCTTATTTCATTAAGTTTTTTTAAATTGTACCTATAAGAAAATATTACTATCCGTAAAAATCTGTGAAGGATTTACAAAAAGTTTAGTTTTGAATTACGATTCATTACGGTTTGATGAAAAATAGTTACTCTTCTTGTAGCATTGTTCAAGGCTTTATGTCTGTTGTTAGCTATTGTGGTACCGCCAGTATGTAGAATCAAAATTGTGAGGAGTAACAAATTTAACTTTAATTGTATTTTACACTATACTAGAGGTTCTTTGGAATTTAAAAAAAAAAAATATTGTAGGATGTTACAAATTTTTATTTTTAATTTACCCAAAATTTTTTGTTTTGTTATTTGCACAATTTTTTATTTTTTTATTAGTTTTTAACTTTTAATTTGTTTAACAATGCCATCACTAATGAACTACTAATTCACTTTTTATTTTGTTGCTGTTATTTTTGTCTTAAAATATATATTTATAACCTTATTGCGATATTATACGATTTTAAAAATTAGTGTATAATTGAAACACATTTTGCAATCAATCGCTTTTGAAAGTTGGTAAAATTTTTTAGGTCGTCTTTACCTATAATTGACGTCACAATATATTATAATAGATTGTTAAATCTAATAAAAATGTGAATATATTAAAAAGGATCTTATAAAATAAACATTATTTAACACAGTCACGATTCATTGAAACTTAATAAAAAAATAAAAAAAATTGCATAAAGCAGGGGGCACATAAGCGAAAATGTATTTATTTTTTTTTCAATTAACAATGTTCGAGAATATAATTTGCCATCTATATGCATATAATATTGTCATATTTTCCTTGCTTAATGCATACTGGTAAACAAATTCCTGAAAAAAATCTACCATTTGAATTGCTGCGCCAAAAGTACAAATTTATAAAATAAATTGACAAATATTGTACATCTTTAATAAATACTTTAACAAATCTCATTTAATAAATGGATAAAATTAAATCTTAAATTAAATCAGACCATTAATCCTCCCTCTCCTTTATAAAAATACCAAATATACTAAACCAATAATATAAAAATTTAAAAGATAAAAAAAATGAAAACACAAAATTCCTATGTTAAACTATTTTGTCTGTATGCAAAACAGGACATAAAGGACATAAAGACAAAATAAAATCTCAATCGTCAAGTGAATTGGACGATAACGGTAAAGATAGCAATTCTGTTGGTCCATTCTATCCGACAATCGATGGTAAACCACCAAAAGTTCCATCAGAAAAATCAACTAAAAATAAATTTAATAAAGATCCGGCTATAGTGAATGCACAATCACCAACACCAACATTATCGTCATCATCCTCACAACCAATAATTACAAATGATGTTAAATATGACAGACCATTTTTACCAATTATTAGTCCATCATTATTACCATTACCGCAAACTCCACAACAACACCATGAACATGAAGAAGAACAAATAGAACAGAATAATCATATGGAACAATCGCATCAACATCAACATCAGCAACAACAACAACAACATCCACATCATCATCATCAACAGAAAAATGAACAAAAACATCAACAATATCCTGAACATGAAAATTCCGGTGATATAATTGGTATAAGACCAACAACATCAATACAATATGATTTAAATAATAATCATCATCCTGGTTTAAATTTCTTTGATTCATCTCAATCAATAAAAAATCAATATAATAATGTTGACTTTAATCATTATCATCAAAAACAACAGCAACATCATCATCATCCACAATCTCCTTATAATACAGATATTAATGGAAATGATAATGGAAATATTGGTCATGAACCGAATGGTATTATTATAACATCTGGAAAACCAAGCCAAACTGAATTATATAATGTTCTTGGACAAAATGGTGGCAATAATAATAATCATCCCAGCAATATTAATATTATTGGTCCAATCAATAACAATGCTAATAATCATAATTTTCCACCATCTTTACCACCTTCATTGGCAGCATCATTACCACATTTACAACAACACATTCATCGTCATCAACAGCAACAGCAACAACAGCAGCAACAACAACAACATCGATTACAACATGAAAATACCAATTTATCACCACCAAATATTCGTATTGAACATATTTTACAACATTTACAATTAAATGAACCAAATCAAATTCAACACCAATCACATTTGCATAATCAAAATCAACAGCAATTACCAAATATCGGTAATCATTATCAAAATAGTAATCGTGTGCAATTAGGTTCATCAAATGTGAATAATAATAATAATGATCCAACAACACAAATTATTCATATACCAATAACTGCATCTGATGGCAGTAATCATGGATTACCATTTAATAGTTTTACAATACATCATTTAAATGATGGATTACCAACTAGTGTAAGAGGAATAGGAATTGGTAATGCTGGTGAACAATCAGGTGGTAATGTTAATATTAATGATGGAACAGGATCAGGAATTTTAGGAAATGCTGGAGGTCAATCAAATAATATTATTGAACATGGCGGTAATCGTGGTTTAATTAATCAAAGATTACCACCATTACCAACATTGCAAACAGGTTTAAAGAATCATTCTGATAATTTCTACAGAGTAACAAAATTCTTTTTGTTTTTGGTTTCTAATCTACCATCGGATCGGGTGCTATTTAGTGTTTTTTTTTTTTTTGCTTCTAATGTATTTTTTTCTTTTAGCTTTTGCTGTTGTAATTGCAATTCAATATTAATTCATAAACATATATACATATGTAGAATTTGATTGTGCTGTATTGTTTAGCTTCTACTTTAGTGTTTAGTTGAAATATAAAAATTTTGGTTTTGGGACCAATATAGTAATGTGGTACTGAACAACAACAATAATCGTTTATCAAATGCAATAGGAAACATATGTACAATATATACATACATGTGTACACAGTTGCGATTGATTTTTATTAGAAAAATTAAATTTAAATAGAGTAGAAATGTAGTTTTTGAAAAACGCTTTTCATTTTGTTGTTTTTTTTATTATTTTTTTTATTATTTATTTTGGTGTTTGTTTTGGGTTGTTTTTATTGTTAAAGTTTTTTTTTTATAAAAAAGGATATTTTAAACTTTTGAAATCAATTTCATTTTTTTGCTTTTTTTTATTGGTGTTGGCAATAAAATCGATTAGTTTTTATTTCGATTTGCTTTTATTTTTTTATATGCTTTTATATTTAATGAATTTGAAAATATTTGAAAAAAAATTCAGGATTTAGTTCTCATTTTTGTTTTGCATAGTTTAATGTTTTTATTGACTACCTTTCTTTTCGAAAATTTCGATTACAATTCTTAAATTTCGTTCAATTTCAAAAAAGTGAAATATTTAAAAAATTTTTAGAATTATTTTAAGTATGGCATGAGGAAAACCATATGTGAAAAATTTTAAAATAAATTAATTATTTTTCATTTCGAATATACAAGCAACTTAAATTTTAATAAAAATTTTAGTAAAATTTTTATAAAGTGCTGACTATATTACGAAAAACAGTCTCAGAAATTTTTCCTTTAGAATTTCTGTTTTAATTTTTAAGTATACTGCTAGTTTCCTTAAAAATTTCTCAAAAAAATTGTAGCAGCAATAGTGATCCTGTAAAGCTCACTGAAAAAAAAACAAAGTTCTAGTTTAACATTTGACCTTTATTTGAGCTTCGTAATTTCAAAAAATAAAAAAATCATGTAGGATTTCAGTGATTATAAAATGAAATCTTGTCTTTTTGCTATCAAGAAGCAATCATTGCTTTGGAATTTTTCGAGTCACGACATAGGCGAGCGCAAACTTTTCTTTGCATTATTTTTTTGCTCCGTTTTATATAAGAAGATATTGAGTGAAGGATTTGTAAAAATCGATGTTTTTACATTTTCGAAAAAGTTGAGTTATATTAGGTCTATATGAATTTTCGTTCACTCGGCAATGTTAGCAGTAAAATTTAAAAAAATTTTAAAATAACATTTTTCTACCAATTTTAAGAATGTCACTTAATATGTTTTTATATTTCGCCGACTCTAAAATTTATTGCAAAGTACAAAAATATTTCCGTTGTGCAGTTCTTATTCACTGCATTCAATAACCATAACTGCATGTTTAAAATATGATAATTTATCTAAGCCACGAACCTTTAGCACGCAACAGGAAAATTCTTTTCTCCTGCTTATGTTTTTCGAACCAGAGGCATTAAGCTAAACTCGATTAAAGACAAAAGATCAAATTAAATAATCAAACTACGATTCTTAGCACTCATTGTAGCAGAGGCAAATTGTATTACATGACCGAACAGTCATTAAAAGTTTGTTTTGTAAAAATATAATTTATAATGAAGCTGTAATAATTAGGTATTTTGTAAATTACGAGTATATTGCTAAAAAAAGTTAAGAAAAACCTTGAAGGTGCATAAATGTATTAATGTCTTTTTAGTATTAACATTTGAGCTCTTTATATACTTAAATCGTAACAAAAATAACAAAATAGTTTGTTTTTGTATTAAGTAATTAAAATATTATTAATTATTAATTATCATTAGAAAATAATAATTTCATATTTAGTAATTTTATTTAATTTTATTTTTTTTAATTTTCTTCTCTCCAGGAATTAATTTCAATCCCAACAATAATGTTAATTTGAATAATATTTCGCCTAATTTAGAGCTTTTAAATCTTGAAGCAATTAATCCGAACACAGTACGTATAGTATTTAGAGTTCCACCAGTTTATGTTAATTTACATGGTCGTGTTGAATTACGTTATACAAATGGACCAAATAATGATACAAGTACATGGGAACATCAAATATTTGCACCACCAGAAGATCTTATTGCAACATCACAATTAGAATTTGAATTACCAAATTTAGAACCAAATTCATTATATAAAATTCAAATAACATTATTATTACGTGATTTAAGTTCACAACCGACAAGTGGTATTTATACAGTTGAAACACCACCAGAACGTACAATAACACCACCATCAACCCCAACAAATTATAGACCAGATTTTGAAGATATATTTAGTAAAGTTGATGATCCCGGTTTAAATGTTAGTGAATCGAATTCAACATGGTTAAGTTTAAATTGGAATAAATTATCTGATAAATATTTAGAATATGTTGATGGTATACAATTAAGATATAAAGAAATTGATCAAATGCTTTATGATGCAACACCATTAATTCATAGAACATTAACAAGTTATACAATTGAAAATTTACGTCCAGATACCGTTTATGAATTCGGTTTATATTATATACCATTTGCTGGGCATGGAGCTGAATTATTAGCTGGTAATATGGTAACTGGTAGAACATCACCTAAAATTGATATATATGGTTTTGATGTTATGGTAAATGTTACTAAAGTTAAAAGTACTAGTATTGAAGTATCATGGAGTGGTGTACCATATCCTGAAGATAAATATATAAATATATATCGTGCTATATACCAAAGTGATGGTGGTAAAGAAGATTCAAGTGTATTTAAAGTTGCTAAACGTGAATCATCAACTGGTACATTAATAACTGATTTAAAACCAGGTATCAGATATAGATTGTGGTTAGAAACGTATTTAACCAATGGTAAAATTAAAAAGAGTAATGTAGTCAATTTTGTAACAAAACCTGGTGGTACAGCGCCAGCACCTGCTAAAACTGGTAAGTTTTAATAAATTTCTAAATTTTCTTGAAAATTATATTGTTAATTAAATTAGGTTGACATCAGATCTGAGCTTTGATACATGCCTTGAATTTTCCTTATTTCAAATTTAATTTTTATTATATTTACTTAACTGTTTTTTTTAGGTAAATTATTAACGGCTGGTGATAGTCAACAACCTGTTGGTGATTATTATGGTCCATTAGTAGTTGTAGCTGTAGTTGCAGCATTAGCTGTTATGTCAACTTTAATATTATTAATGATTTTGACAAGACGAAGAACACATCATACAGCATCAATAACACCGCCAAGAAAAAGTGAAGCTGCTTATGATAATCCTAGTTATAAAGTTGAAATTCAACAAGAAACGATGAGTAAGTATAACAGTTTCGGTGATGAAGCATATTATTAAAATGATTAACTAAAATTTGAACAAGAAAAAAAAAAATAAAATAATTTTTTTTTAATAAACGAAAAAGAATTTTAAAAGCTAGCAACGATATGAATTTTTAGTGTTATTCTTGTATGATTAAGAAACTATTTTAAAAGAATTTTTCAAATAATATAAACAGTCACATTTTATAATATTAATAAATAAGAAATTTTTGAGTGATATTCAATATTTGGGTAGAAATTGTATGTTGGTACATATACACTTGAATAATGTGATTTAATCAGAAATTTTGATTTTGAGAAATTGGTGAGTATTGAGAATTGTTTGTTTTTGTGTACAATTGCGTTCAAAGCACTACCACTATAACAGAAATGCAATATCACTATTGCAAAATTTTGCTTTACATAATTTTCTTCATTTGTTTTTTTTTTGTTTTTGCTGTTCTTATGAAGAGTTACAGTATGTCAGCTTAAATCATTTTATGATTTAACTAAAATAATAATAATTGCAATCAATAAGCGTAAGGACATTACGGGAAAAAATTAATTGTTATAAAAGAAAATAATATTGATGCACTAAAAATTCATTTAACAATAAAATTTAATTTTATTCAAAATCAATACAATCTAATTGCAAAATTAAAATATTTTTCTTATAACTCAAGTTCATTTCACCATATTTCACATTTACAGAAATTTAAAAGTTAATAACAATTAATCATATTGAATTTAAAACATCGATTACTGCTATTAATCGAATTTAATCATCAATTATCATTTAATTCAGGAATTTTTTTTATTTTATTTTTAAAAAATGCTCGTTTCTTAATTTGTGTTTTCAATTAATGAGAACAAACTTAGGTGTTTTTAAATTTTTTTATTTTATTATATTTTGTTCAACCATCGTAGAAACCATTTTAGCAATTCATAATTATTGCTTCATAAAATATAAGATTGTATTTTACATATGTATATATAATATATTGTCGGTTTAAAAGCAGATAGCATTAAGTCAGGAAACTGTGTTTTGAGTAAAGTCAATTTAGAAAAATCGTAAAATGTAAAACTAATCAATTAGTGCAATGATATTGGTCTCTTTAATTTCTGGATTTATAAACTACATTCTGGATTTGCATGATTTTTTACCACAAGAAAGATTATATTATTCTGATTTAAATCATCTATGAAATGCCAATTCTCAAAAAATGCACTTAGTGCTTTCTGCTTTTTAACCGACGATATGAGATAATTTCCCTCTCATTGAACATAAAAATTTTTACTTAAATGAGCATTTTCTCCCTTATACTTAATATTATTACTATTTTATTCTAAATTACACCCCTATTCTCTTAATATCTTGATGACTTTTTTATAATTATGTTATTCGTTAGCAATTATTCGTATTTCAATTTTAAAAATAAACAATATTGGCTTTATCTTTCATTATTAATCAAATTCAATCAAATGAATTTTCATTAATTTTCGTATTTCACACAACTTCCTCATCTAATTGGCAACCAATTTCTCTCATATTTAGTTCAAATATTTTTTCGTTTACTGCATTTTCAGAAGTAGTTTTGATTCTATTTTGAAGAATTGCTCAATAAATTTTAAATTAACAATAAATATTGGATCGAATTTATTATTACTGTAATAGATAATTGAAATTAATTAATTGCTTTAAAAAATACATGTGTTTTTTTTTTTTGCAATATAAACATCTCATAATTAATTAATTTTTTTTTTTGAGAACATTTTTTTCCAATTAAATTTTAATTTCTTATTAATTTTACATCAATAATAAAATATTTCATTTAATATTATTTATCGATTTTCGTTTTATTATTTATTTATATTTTATAATTTATACACAATTTATTTAAATTTTAATCAATATTGTTTTTAATTTAATTTTTATTTTATATTTTTACATTATTATTTTAATAATATTTTTCATACACAATGTGTATGATTGTAAACAATTTTAAATTAAAAATTAAGAATAAAATTATTAATATTAAATTTAACGAGGTGCCAACTTTCATCACAAATATTTTAACACATGGACCAAAAAAACAAAATAATAAAATGAAATCGCGTAATAAAAAACATAAGTAGGCCGCACTTTTATTTTGCTGAATTTTAAGTTCGCTTATATAACAATTTCTGTATTTTCAACAGCAAGTAGTTATACGAAATACTTAATTTCGTATAAAATAAATTTATTGTATACTGTGAAGTCAATTTAAAGTTGGTATATTTATATGTGTACTGGACAGATTTAATTATTGGTCCATTCTTTAATTATAAAATAATTTAGTAAAAATATTTTCCAAGTCCTAATTATACACTCTCAAAATATGTGAAAGACTATTTTTTAAAATAGGATTATTTCGAAATGAAAGTAGAATTTTATGTCTAAACGGACATTTCACAAATTTACAATAATATTTCAATATTGGATATTTAAAGTCTCTGCGTATTCGCATTTATGATCAGTTTGAACCACTTTAAGGACATAAAATGAGAAAATTGTTTATAGAAAAATTGGATCAAGTAATACTCGTATTTTAAATAACACTTTGATTCCAAAAATTTAGTTAACTTAAAAAAAAATAATAGTAAAAGATGAATGCAGATTTTAATTTGCAACAAAAACTTTTAAAGTTTCTTGAACGACAATGTTAACACAATTGCAATTTTAATTGGAAACTTGAAATTTTTTGCAAAAAAATTTATTTTAATATTAAAATTTCATTTGAAAGTGAAAATTTCACTAATTCTGTCTGTAGAAATTTGACAAAATTGCCGGAGACTTATGCATTCTTCTTTATTCTTTAATACTATAAATTACTGCCCCAATAAGTATGCAAATTTATACTTTTCTTTATTTGTACAATTTTCATAAAAATTTTAAAGTTTACTTCTACCAGCTTATTAAAGTAGTTTTTTTTTTTAGTTTCTAATTTAAATGAGAACTTTTAAAAGTATTTTAATAATACTTACTCAATACTTAGGTAATATACCCTACATTTTTTGGCAACAAAATCTATAATTCGTTTAAAAATTCTGTAAAAACAATTTTATTTGTACAATAGGTTTTTTAATATTATAATTGCATTCTTTTGTTTTATATAATTTATTTTTTTATTACAATAAATAAAAAAAATATTGAATTTTTTATATTTTAATTAAATATCATTTTCATATTTTCTTTTTTTTTTGTTTTTATTTTGTATAACAATTTTAAAAATAACTCTGCTGTTTAAAAAAAAAAATAAAATAAATTAAGAGGAATTTTATTTGAATTCATTACCAATAACTAAATTATTAATACATAATAAAAAAAAATATTAAAATATACTTATAACATACTATATACACATACACTCAACAATGCCTATATTAAATACTTATACTCAATATAATTACTTTACAATGAACTTACTTACATGCCTATTATAATATTTTTATTTATTTTCTCTTATACTTTCAGATCTATGACGGACTCAATAATAAAATAAAATTACAATATAAATAACATTAAACAACATTTATGTAATAAAAAAAAAAGCAAAAAATTTATACAATTATAAAAGTATAATAATTGTTGCAACTCTGTATAAATATTAAATATTATGTAATGGAGGAAAGAATGTGTTTTGAAAGCTTATGAAGAATAACTCTTTTTTTTTTGCATTTGGAAAATAATTTAAAGAAATGGAAAAAATTGTATTTAAAAAAAAAATAAAAAAAAAAATGGAGTAAATTAATAATTGAAAAAAAATAGTAATAATAATAAAATCACAAAATATTATACTGTAAAATGTAAATACAATAAATTGCTTCCAGCCAAAATAGAAATAAAAATTATGATATCAAAATGAACTTATATACATAAAATATATATATATACATATAAAATATAGGTGAAAAATAAAATGAAAAGTACTTAAGGCAAATTGAAAATTAATAAATTTAAAATGAAAAAAAAAAGAATATTGATAATAAAAATTATTATACACAATTTATCGGATTTAACCAGAAAAAAAATTTATTTAATATTTTAATTTAATATTTTAATTTAAAAATTCATTTGAAAATCAAATAGCAATTCATTATAAATTTGAATATAACTAAATTTTAATTAATTAATTTAAAAAAAAGTTAATTAAATATTTAATTTGGAATTCTCTTAAGAATTAGCTCTACTGTATAACTCTGAATATTTAGAGTATTCTACGTGAAAAACGCCCTTCTCTCAAATCTTTTTTTATTTGAGCTTGCAAACGAATTCGAAGTGAATTAAATAGTAAGAGGTTTCCGATATAAGGAAATAGAATCGCAAATTATATACTAGAAATTTGAATAAACCTCTATATTTAAAATATATTCAATTACATGTGTACTTTCTCTTTACATGTTACTACTTGTACTTTTTTGATTTATACACTACAAAGTTCCTTCTTAAACTAACAGTGAATTTTTGTAGAATAATTATTATAATTTGTCACAATTCCTAAATTTCATACAGTAATTTAACAAGTCTCCTTTTATGAAGAGGTAAATATAAATGAAAAATGTACTTTTCATACCTCTTAAGAAAAGAAATAAAATTCTCTCTCTTAAATACTGCAAAGTCAAAAACTTGATAAATGAGATTTAGTTTTTAAGCAAATTTTCCCCTTTTTTATGTTGTTAATTCATCGCTTAACTGCTATTTTGATCAATACGCCACTTTCATAATTTTTGACTTAACAACACTTTTACAGATTTTCGAATATTCTATTTTATAATATTGTAATCCTTTTTCCGCTATCTCATTTAGTTTTAGAGATAGTCACATCAAAAGCCGATAAAATATAAGTTATTCATTCAATGTGGTTCAAAAAGAATTCGATAAATTGTATTTTGAATGCGTGTATAATTCATTTAAAAAAAAATCAAAATGGTAATAATTAAATTGTCACAAAATAATAAAAAAAAATAATAATTAATATATTAAAATACGATTTTCCTACATTATACAATTAAAATACATAGAGAAAACTAAAATTAGGAGGTCATAAAGAAAATACATAATTATTATGTATTTATGTATGTATATATTTCATATAATATTAGAAAAAATATTATATACATGAATAGAATTAAAATAAAAGAAAAATTATAATCTTTTTTGACTTTTTAACAATTTTAAGTTGCCATCTCTATAATAATAAATGATGTTTTCTTTATGTAAAATGAACCAATCAATTTTAAAGAAAATTCTCTATATATATACATATATATATATTATAAGTTTAATAGCCAAAATGACCAAATTTTGAAGAATTTTTCTTTTTAAATAAATAAAGTAAGTAAAAATAAATAAAACAAAAAAATTAAAAACAAAAGAAAACTCAATATTTTTTTGTTTATTTTTTAATTGTAATTATATAATATTATTATTTTACTGAAAATTAGTTATTAAAAATAATTTTGTGTAAATAATGAAAATTAAGTCTAAAATATATCATTATAAATAATTTTATATTATAAATTAATAATAATAATGAAAAAAAAAAACGAAAAATAATGAAAATAAATCAGTAGATTTTTTCATTACAGAATCTCTAACTCTTCAAACTCTACTACAACAAAATACCTAAATTCTTTCTTCAAATTCTCAATTTATTTCTTATAAAAAATATTATAAATAAATTAAATTGTATAACACTTTTATTTGCATAATATCGGATTGAAATTTCTTTATAAATAAATAATAATTAAGTAATAGTGCATACATATAATTACTCTCAATATATATATAGTTATGTATGTATGATTGTATTTTGTACTATATATATGATTATTATAAATTTATATTTTAAATAGAATATAAATATTGTTAAATATTTTAGAATATTATTATGAAAAGATTGTATGTTGTATTAATATTGTAATGGGTGTCATACACAATAAAAATTCATAAAATTAAAAATGAAAGTGAAAAAAATTTGAAAAAAATTGGGAGTATGAAAAAAAATTCTTTCCAAATTTAAATATTCGGAGGTGGATATGAATACGGTTTAATTTCGGCATTTAAGAGATTTGTAGAACTTATACATTCAATTAATTTATATAATTGTATATTTTACTTCTAATCACTCTGAATTTGATTATATACCATTTAATTTTTATAACAAATACATGAAAACCCCATTTATTTATTAAAATTTAATTCCCTATTATAATTTCGTTTTGTAACTTTTACTCTTAATACTTTATTCAAAATAATATTGCGTCATGACACTATTATTTAGAAATGGACATTTTCCTCGGCGAACTATCAGATTTCATATAGAATACATATATTTAAATAGGAATGCCCAAAATCAGGCGAAGTTACCGACGCGAGTTGAACTGCCGGCAGTAAAATAGTCTAAATATCTATTTTATCGAATGCAGTTTTTCTTTTTGACATCATCTGTTTCAATGTGAGTTTAACATTTATGCAAAATACTATACATTTGGTTTTGCAGTTCCGCTGTTGTTCTGGGTAAACAATAGAAATTTTCCGCTGTTACCGTTCACCGCTTTGGTTATGTTTTTACAATTATTTAGTTTCATAGTTTTTCTCTTTTAATTCTTTTCTCAGAAACCACTACAGATCTACAACAAAAATTAAAAAGAACGGTTAAAATTAATTACTTTTATACATATTGTTTTCTTATACCATAACAAAATCTAAGAAGAATTGTAAATCATTTTTAATTGTTATATGAATTTAAAATGTTATATAAAAACAATTTTAATACATACAACAGTCTGTATGTAACCTCTTTTATTAGATTGTAAATTAGAATATTTAATTAAAAATAAAAAAAGAAAGAGAAGAATTAAAATTTATCAAAATAATAATTATTAATAAATTTATAATGTATAAACATTGTAGAATTTCATATTTAAAAATAATTATAAATAATATTGTATTTTTATTCTCTTTATAATAAATTTATTATTTTATAATTAATTATATAGAAGAAAATTAAATGTAAACTGTATAATAATCTTTAAATTAAAACAAAATATTTTTGCTTAAAATATAATAATGAAGTCATTAATGAAGAAAAATATTAATTTTTTTTTATAATAATCTGGTTTAATTGCAAATTATAATTAATATTTTTGTATATTGAAATTTTTTATTAGATAAGTTTTCTGATCAAATATCATTTTTATATAATTAAATTCCTATATGTTACTAAATTTTACAAATATTCTGGGATATGTCAAATGTAAAACAAGATTGAAAAATTTAAATTTACATAAATTTTTAGAAATCTACGTAAATAATTAATTTTTTAAACAACAATTACAAAAAAAAAATTGTTTAATTAAAACAAACTGCCATCAGTTTTTTCTTCACAAAGAGGAAATTGTGCACACAAAATTTTATGAACATATTAAAATTGCTTCGGCTTCTTTAATTATTCCGGTCGAAATATTATGCGTTTTCCGAACTCACCCTAATTTGCAATAGTCTGTTTAAAAGTCTAAAACCATAATTTCGAACAAATTTGTTCAGTTTTTGCCAGATTGATAGCTCCTTTTTCCTAATTTTAATGAAGTTATAAAATATGTAACACTTTTTGTAATAAATGTAATTTATATTTTTTTTTATAATTCCTTTTTCTATTTAAGTTTTATTATAAAATCTTTGGAAATTAGTTTCAAAATTTTTTTTTAATAAAAGAAAAAATAATAATTTCTATTGTATTTATAATTGTAATAGATGGATTTAATAAAATTAATAGGATTAAGTAAAAATAATAATAATAATAAAGAAAGAAATATTTAATAAAAAAAAAAATAAAATAAAATTGTGTTTTTCATGTTAACTAAATTTAAAAAAACATATCTTAAGTTTGGAATATATTGTAGTCCATAAATCAATTAAAGGTACACCGCATTGATGAAAGTTATTTCATTTTCTTATACATAAATAACCACTGGTTTGATACAAGTTTTGAACACTACAGAAAAATTTTTTATTATACATGTGTTACCGAATGTTCGAATTATAAATTTATCAATTCTTTTTGAATTCTGAGTTTATGTCTGTCCGTCTGTTCATTCCAGCGTTAACTCAAGAATGCACTTAATAAAAGTAGGAACTTTATTGGGTTAAACTGGCGATTCAAAAAGCTGACATACAACTCCTAAAATAATTAAGTTAGTTTTAGTTTATAGAGTCATTGAATTTTATAACTTAACTTGTATAATGATAATATCGGGTTGTGGTTATATAAGTTTTTGAAAACATCATTCTTGTGTTTATATGTTCTTGGAAACCATAATATCTTGGAAACCACATAGTCTAAAGTATTACTACCACTAGCTTTAAGTGACACAGCCAACATTGTAGAATACCTAGCTGTACGAAAGAAAAAGCACTATCTTCGCACTGCGTAAAGTATGTTTTGAAAAAAATTACGAAAGCCGAACAGAAAATAATATTGTGGTATTCTGTGAGCAACAGAAAACAATATTTGGGGTTCGTTTTCGCTACTACACTTCAATTCAGAGTTAAAATATATTAAATTATAAAGTGTTCTGCACCGTAGTATATTAAGAGCATTATAAATCGTGGCGTATATTGTTATTTATAAATACTTTATTGTTTTAAAGGTAAAATATACAAAAATGGGTGAAAGCTTTAGTCATAACTGCAAATTATATTAAAACCAGGCCCAAGAACGCGAAATATATGAATAATAGATTAAAATAGGAACTTTTTTTTTGTTTGGAATGCGAACTGTCAAAAAAATCACCCAAAATTGCAGTCTTATCTTCCCTGCACACAAAATAAAGTAAAAATGCTGTCACGTCTGATTAAAAATATGTGAAAAATCCACTTAAAATATAATAAGTGGAACAGTAAAGAAATTTTGTCCGTCATAGTTAATCATTACCATTATAGTTTGAAACGCGAATATTAGAGACATGCCAAATTTAATGCACGAAATTTTGTAACTATTAAAAAAACAAAATAAAAGTCACAGATTAAAAATTTAATTCAAGTATTTTTCTCTGCATATGTTCTGTACACAATCACAAAATATAGGAGCACAGAATAATCCTCAAAATTCTAAATATACAATAATTGCAAAAACTCGAAACTTTTCATTTCATGTACATATCTATGTATACTCACAATTTTGCGTTAGTAACGTCCTTACAAGTTTAAGCAATAAAAATCTCTTTCTTCTTTTCTATTTCCAAATTGTGATACTGTAGCATTAAATTTCGTGTTGACAAACTTCTTGTCAACTCGTACAAATTCTACAAAACTTTAGTTGGAAGATTCAAAATAAAATTTTTCTAAATAAATTCTAATAAAAAAAGAAAATTAAGATTCTTTTGAAAAAGTTTTCATAAAATGTCTAAGTACTAATTACAGATTGTTGACTTAAAATTTTGATTTAATTAAAAATTTTTTTTTAATTTCAAATGTAAAATTACGAAATAAAATAAAAACTCGTATTTTTTCAATGAAGTTTTGAAATTTATAAAAATTTAAATAAATAAAAGTTTTTTTTTTCATTTTTCAATTTCATTCCAAAATATATAAGCAGTGTTTGAAATTCTTTATGGAGGGAAAAAGTATACCCTCCCTACATACAAGAGATTTTTTACAGAAATTTTTCGGTAATTAAATGTGTACACGTGAAATTTAATTGGATTTCTATTGATCAAATGGGTATTTATAGGTTGTCGGAAGAGAAAATGAAAATTATAAAGAAATACGTGGAAATTCCAAATAAATTCTTTAAACTGACACAATTAATTATTTGGAGCTGTTTGAAATTAATTGCTTGCACGTGTCACGGTAAATCAAAAAATATTTAGTGTCTATTCAGTAAACATTTTAAAGAAAAGATGTTTGACTTTGATAATTGGAAAAAAATATTAGGTAATAAATGAAATTCATGTAAGGTAGAATTAATGTGTCTATGCTATTGCTGCATATCAGGGGCCCACAACCTTCTCCGAATGACGAGCTACTTTCCAAATAAAATTTTCTGTGTCGACCACAAATTCAGGTATAACTTAAATAGAGTTTACAAAAATTTTCAGTTTTGTTTCCAGTTTTACAAGGATCTTACAGTTCTTGGAAGGAAAAGGAAGGAAATATAAAATATGGAAATATCGTAAATATACGTATGTATATATAGAATATATGGAATATTTAAGAAAATAGTTATTTAATTCATTCCAATTCAATTCACTTTTTGTTATTGAATATTATTCGATAATTCATTTAATTCTGGCTGTCTTTGGGATATAAGC